ATGTATCCTGATAGAGTTAAAACTGATCGTCAAGAAATAATGGAAGAAAATAAGTTTCTTGCTGATATAATAAATTCATGCAATGGAATTATTTATATTGATGCTCCTCCGATTAATATTGATTGTCAACTACGTTCAAGTTTAAACAAAGAAGATAGGAAAAAATCAAGAAAGATATTACTAAATCATATAGAAAGTTTTCATGGAAATTATAAACCATATCTAAAAACTTGGGATCAACTTTATGTAAAGATTCGTAACTACATAAAAATAAAGTATGAGTTAGAAGAAAGCTTACAAAATTCGAGTTCTTCTGCGGAGATCAGTAAAATAAAGGAAAGAATAGAAAAATTAGAAGAGAAAGTTGTCAGAGAAACGGATTTGAAATGTGATATAGAAATACCTTCAATTACGAAAATAAGACTTTGTTTTAAAAGCAAAAATGGTATATGCCAAATAATTTAACGTTATAAATCCACTTTTCAAATTAATGATAAGCAAAATTCTTTGGGAATCTGGAATTTAGAACCTAATTTTAAAAATACAAACTTATAATTACTTGTGCACCGGCAAAGTGAGGTTTTTAAATGCTCATAAAGAGCTGAAGCTTTAATATTAGGGGTTTCAGAATTAATGATTCGGCGTCCGATTTCAGATAAAATTTTATTTCAATATAAGCAACGTACAAATTCTATTTTTTTTAAAGTATGTACTGTACTTATTTACATAATCGTTTACCGATGAACGTTTATCAAAAAAAAAGCTAATTTTATCACCGACTATGCCTATTTAATTTTTGATTCGGAATTCTAAAAAAGAAAATAGGTCCTTTTAAACTCTCACTTATTTTGAAAAAAAGTTAATTTTGAAGCCCCCTATTGTTATTTATTATTATTATTAAATTTTAATATTTATTATATACAAAATAGGAAAAGAATTTTGTTATGATAACTTTAATGAGTTTTTAGCAATAATTAGTATTTTATATTTACATTTTTTAACATTGATTTCATGCTTATAACTTTATTTTATCAGATATTGATAATAAATAAAATTATCGTTATTGAATAAAAGTAGATGTGAATTTGTATAAGGCCACGCAAAGTGGCAGGTCGGATTATTATTATTATTATTTTACTAAGTTACTGTAAAATAATAGACTCATGTTCACATTTAAGGCTTAAGGCCATGCAAAAATTATTTTTCGTTTGCATAATATGAAATTATAAAATTATGTCAGCGGCAAATTTTTTGTTTTTTTTTCTATTGATTGATTCCAGGAAATTACCCCTTTTGACATCAATTTCGCACAAAAGGACATTTAATTTCGTACATTTAAATTTGTACAAAATAACAATTAAAATCATGCGGGCGAAAATTTTTGATGGGATTTTTGTGATTACTAAAATTAAGTGATATACATAATGATTTGTATAATAATTTGCGACTTTATGATCAGTTTCATAAGCAATATATAGCTAAGAAAAAGCTATTGACCAATCAAATGCATAACGATTCATAAGAATTATGCAGTTTTATAAACGGTTTCATAAGCGATTCATAAGCAATTTATAACCAAGACAAGCGATTGACAATCGTACGATTCAATTTACCGGTGATCATGCAATATATCACATAAATCCTTTAAATGATTTGATAAATTTTATAAAAATATTATCATCGAATTTTTAATAGTCACCAAATCAAAAAATTCCGCCCGTACGTAAAATCAGGTTGATTAAATTGTGATATAGTAATCCAATTTGGAGGATTCGAATGATAATTTCAGCCTAGATTTTTGATCGTCACTCTTAGCCAATCAAAGAATCTGCTGTGACATGACAGCTAAGGTATTTCTTGTAATAATTCTATATAATTTGTACACTTAATGCTGAGTTAAGTAATAATTATGATTTATCAGCCAGGAAATAAAAAATTTTGGATCGGCTAACCGGTCAGATAAGTCGCTATAATCGACTGCGGCTATAGCTGCGATAATCAAAATTCAACAATTTTCTAACTTTCTGATTATGGTTAAATGTATTGAATAGTTTAAAATTTTTTTTGAAACAAAAGAAACTTTTATATAATCTACCCCTAAGTCATACCTTATTAAAAAAAAATTAAAAAGATAATAATAATGCTTCCTTGCTAAATATCGTTTATACATATTTTATTTACAATTTTGTTATATCTACAATTTACGAATTAGAAGAAAAGAAACCTATAAAGCTACATTTAAAGTGATTCTACGAACATGCAATAAGTAAATGGAGGTCTATATGCTGATCACTTTAGCTAATTACTCGATAATAACTGGCACACATTCAAGATGTGCTATAAAAAGAAAATAGGGAGTAAATATTATAAGATTTAACTAATAAGACACATGAGCAATGAATATAATGTTTACTATTGTATATGTATTTTTAGTATGTAAACAATGGAAACTACAAACGCTACAAAAAATTAAAGCAAAAGTGAGTACAGTACTAGAAAATTTAATTATGGAAACATAGCTATAATCGGGATGAAATTATTAACTAAAATCGTAATTTCAAAATAAAGTTTACAAAGTAATGCATACATCACTATAGAATCAAAAGACATTGAACTTAAATACAACCTGAATACGATAAAAACTTTTGGGGCTATATCAGATATCAAGATAGTTCAGAGCCAATAAACATGACGATCTACGTCTAAAAAAGATGGGAGGGGAGGGGGTGACTGATATTGTTCTTTCATTATTTAGTATATGATAATACGTCAATACAGTGGGCTTAAAAATCATCTCTTTGTTAACGCGTCAGCCTGCTGGATAGCTATAAGTAGCACGTTAACGTGTAGTATATTAATTTAAATGTATATATCGAATGTAATAAAGACAAAGACTCCTCTCGATTTTCCCTATATATACAAAAGGAAGTAAGTGAGTGTGGTGTTGAAGGGACCTTTGATGCTAGTTTATACAATAAAAATCGAAATACTTATCTCTTTTCATTTAACTAGAGTCCTTTACCTCGTTTGTTGCTTCGTCTTGTCCGTGTGATTTGTTATTTGATAAATTAAAAGTTCTAGTATCCTCGTTACAAACAATTCAACTTTTATTCTTCTTAATACAAATTATCCAACAGTTTCCTATTTTATACACTTATACACATTACAGTATCACTGAAATAAACATTCGTCCAATATTTGTGAAACGGGTCGATTGATAGCTCACCAACTTTTCAACCTATAATACGCCAAACTAAGAAATTCATTTGATGTATCCTTTAGAAACATGGGCATTACTCGTGTTAATGCCAGGCATTCACTTATTATCGACAATCTGCTAGTCTGTTGAAGAGTTATTCTGGAAATAGTTAGGATGAAATTTTCGTTGAATTAGTTAAAGATATGAAAGGAGGTTTGATGGAAATAAGATTTGTAATAAATTGATGGAAGTTAATCCGATGAATGTATCAGAAGAATTCTAACACGTATTTAAGCCTTTGAGTTTACCTTACTTGTACCGTATTCAAATTGTTTCTGAGCAGATGCTTCCTTCATAAAGTTCTCTGAGAAAATTTCTAAATTATATCATATCTCATGAATTATATTACTTGACCAGTCTCTGATACTCGTTTACCATCCCGATTAAATTGACTCCCTGTGTCTGAACTTTACCAATTATATGGTAGCCTTTATCTCAAATAAGAACGCATATTAGGCAATTTAAATACGTACAATAAAACTTTTTAGTGGCTATTTCTTTGTTTAATAATATTAATCAAAGATTGAACGGAAATAACACATCACATGTTTAATGGTACATATAATTTGTTTATCAATTTAATATGGATCAAACAGTGTTACCATCTAGGGTGGGAGAGCGACGGGCGTATATGCACAGTTTTACTCTGATGATTATCGGGTGAGAAATAGATACCAAAAGCATTTGGGGCTATTAATGAAGGGCTTCGAGATATCTCATTGTCCTCCTTCTTATTAAGGTCTAAAAGGCATCCTTAAATACATGATTATGGATGCATTTACATTCATATCAACAGATCTTGAATGAATACGTTTTAATACTAACTAAATTACAATTCATATTATCACCTACTAATCTACATCGTAGCATCGGGCACAGATACAAGTTAGCGCATTTTTGTGAATCTAAAAAACCGATTAAAATGGGTCATATCTCATCGCAGTTGTCAACAAACTAGTTTTTTATCGCTAGAATTCTACAATGTTAGGAAATTTTTGCTATATAAACTTCAGATGTAAATATTAGGACCTTTCAAATTTTTTATTGCCATTTGATACTAGCATTTAGTCTTTGGTTCTTTGGAATTTTCCTGGCCACAACAATCACTTCTCTGGATCCCTGCCTAAAGTGCAAACTAGTGATATGGGCCGACCCGGAAAATATCGGCCGGGTATCTTCGGAATATAGACAATAAGGCAACATTGGATACAAATCTCTTATTAGGATCAGAAAAAAGGGATCGAATCGGATTTGAATAACTTTCAATAGATGTTTAAATGGTGGGGGAAGTTTTGTATCTTTCAGAATTTTTCAAAATCATTCATAAAAGGTCAGCCGGGCCGGCCTCGGCCCGAGATTTTTTCATCGGCCCATATCACTAGTGCAAACACATACAATAATAAGCTTTATAATATTTATATTCACTGCACCGTTTCACATAATCAGAGTATCTAAACTTTTCTCTCGGCTGTACATTCCTTAGTTTCTTCGCATAATTCTTATTTATGAAAATTTATTTGCTTATCGGAAGATTATTTAAATCCTGGAATAGTATAGATAACCTATCTTTTATTTGCTAAGTAGAATTCTAGTAACAATAACCAAATCAAAAAAGTATGGTGGACGCCCAAGAATGGTTAGAACTAAATTATCCAAAAGAAGAAAGGTGATAGAAGATGAGACTAAAGCTAAAAGATTAAGTGGTGAATTGTCTTTAGATTATTTTTATAATCTCATAGCAATGGATTTGTCCAATAATGATATAACTAAATTAGATGTAAGCGATTGTTATGAACTAGAGAAAATAATTGTTGCAAATAATAGTCTTACTAAATTACTAAATCTGCCTAGAGATATTATTAATCCTGAAAAGCTAACATATTTAAGCATGATGAACAATAATATTCATAAAATTACTTTGAATTATTTTCGAAACTTCTATAACTTAGTAGAATTATATATAGGTACAGATGATATACTAAAAATAGAACAAGGTTCTTATAATCGTTTTCATGGCTCTCTAAAACCTTTAAAAAATTTGATGAAACTAGAGGTTTTGGATATTTCTAACACTGATATTAGTAAAGGCTTAAGGCATTTACCGAATAGCTTAGAAAAATTCTATTATGATGCTAATCGGCCCGGAGCCCAAGTAAAAAGAATTAAAGAGAAGCTTAAAACTTTTGAAGGTGATTTGAAGAAATATAAGAAAGAAAAATCAATAAAACTATTACGTAAAAAATCAGTAGAAAATTATGAACCAGAAGATCAATTGGAAATTAATAACTTGTTAATAGTAGGACGTACCGGCAATGGTAAATCGGCACTTATGTATTGAGCGGTACAAATAGATTTAAAGAAAGAGACAAATCAGTTAGTGTGACTAGATACTTCGAAGACGAGATGTTCGAACATAATGAAAAATTATATCGAGTAGTTGATACAATAGGAGTGGGTGACATTAAATTATCAAAGAAACAAGTCTTACTAAGAATAGCCGAAGCTGTCTATACTATGAAAGAAGGGATAAATCAAGTTTTTTTTGTTGTAGGAAGAAGATTCACTAAGGAAGAGATTGATACTTTTGAGTTACTAAAAATAGTTATTCTCGAAAGTAATATCATCAAACATACTACAATAATAAGAACCAATTTTACTAATTTTCGGTATTCTGATAGAGCTAAAACTGATCGTCAAGAAATATTGGAAGAAAATAAGGATCTTGCAGAAATAATAAATTCATGCAATGGAATTATTCATATTGATGCTCCTCCGATTAATGTTGATAGTGAAGATCGTTTACGTTTAAACAAAGAAGACAGGAAAGAATCAAGAAATATATTACTAAATCACATAGAGAGTTTTCATGGAAATTATAAACCATATATAAAAACTTGGGATCAACTTTATGTAAAGATTCGTAACTACATAAAAATGAAGTATGAGTTAGAAGAAATCTTACAAAATTCGAATTCTTCTGCGGAGATCAGTAAAATAAAAGATAAAATAGAAAAATTAGAAGAAAAAGTTGCCAAAGAAACGGATTTGCAATGCGATGTAGAAATACCTTTGTTTGCGAAAATAAAACTTCATTTTAAAAGCAAAAATGGTATATGCCAAATAATTTAACGATACAAATCCACTTTTCAATTTAATGATAAACAAAAATCATTTGGAAATTATAATTGATTGTGTACCAGCAAAGTGAGGTTTTAAACCTAAACTCTTATGAAAAACTGACTTATTAAATATTGTTCTTTTTGTTATTATTAAATTTTATATTTATTATATACAAAATAAGAAAAGAAATATAGAAAGCTTTAATAATAATAATTGGTTTGAGGTATTTTGTAATAACTTTTGGTGGGTTTTGGCAATTAATAATATTTTATATTTACATTTTTTAATTTTGATTTCATGTTTATAACTTTATTTTATAAGATTTGATAATAAATAAATAAATTTATTTTTATTGAATAAAAATATGTGAATTTTGTATTAGGGTTATAATCATAACATGTACTAGTGAGGTGATCTGATATTATAAAATAATTTTTTTATATGTTGGCTTGTAGGTTTACTACTTCACTATAAAATAATAATTCTGAATTTACAGGAATCATAAATGACAACTGTAATAAATATTTTATTTAATAGATCATGTAATTATTATAGTAAAATATATAAATATATAAATTTTTTTACTAATAAGTCATGTATAAAAAAATATTACAATATAACTGCTATTTTGTAGATATTTAATAAAATATATTACCAGTATTCTACTCTTTTACAACAATAAATAATTATTTAATGTTGCTAAATGATTTTTTTAAAATTTGAAAAACTTCATAAGCATCTATTGTATTGAAAAGCTTTCTTTAAAATTTGAAGAACTTCATAAACATCTATTGTATTGAAAAGCTTTCTTTAATTTTCCTGATTGGTTTTTCAAATGACATTTATATTCATGATCTTTAAGTAAATTCCTAATAAACGTGATTTAATTAATTTACGTATTGGTTTACTAATTATTGAATTGTTCTGGTTTATCAAAGTTCAAATTAAAAATAAAACTATTACTTATTTGATAATAATTTTCTTTTGTGAAGATTTCTAATTTTTTGGATCATATCTACCTAAAATTTCATTCATTCCTTTATTAAAATTGTTATTACATGATAACTGGATTAAATTCATCTCTACTACCCTAATTAATAACTTGTAATTAAAAGACTTTTTAAGTATAAAGAATTTTAATAAACTTATTATAGAAAACTTTCTAGATGATTTATAAATCAATTTAGAAATGATTTTAAATGTTCTTGTTTAATTATATTACTTTGTAAATTAGGGTCTCTTTGTGATCAGATTAGGTTACTCAAAGTTTTAGGTTTTTCTTTTATACAGGTTGAAATCAAAAATATCTTCCCTGTATCTTCAAATAATCGGCCTAGGTGATAGCAGAACGATATAGTGATGGCTATGAACCAATATGATAGTGTATAAAAAAGCCGATATGCAGAAGATTAGGGTAAATTATGATGCATATACGGAAATTAACATTCACATATCGTTAAGATGATTTGTTTATCATGTAGAAGATATAAGGACGATATGAAAAGATTTTTTAATGATAATTTGATGTTTAGATAAATCATTAGCTGATATAGTGAAGGCTAATTTGTGAAAAAAAAATTTTCATTTTATACGATATTGTACCGATATAAAGGATAAATATTCATGAATTTGGAATATTATTAACAAATTATAATATCAGATTAAACGATATAATAATGTTGCTTGATGATTAATAAGCCGATATGATAATGTTATTTAGCGATTATATTAATCATGAGATGATATTGTAACGGCTATTAAA